CCTTCTTAAAGAATTTGAGAGTAGTATAATTTGAAACTATTTTTTTAGATTGCTACAAATGTGTAAATACTAAGGTGAAGAGAACATGGCATTTATACAGCAAGACTGAAAATAGCAACATGGACTTGAGTGAAAACAGAACTCTTCAGATGAATAATGAAATAAACCCCTACCTGACTGACGTGGCCCTGTAGACTCACCACTGCACCAACACTGCACAGAGGTTTCACCATATATAAAAATCCCTATTTTTTGCTTTACCATATGTATATTTACCAAAATCTCTGAACCAAGCATCCTTATAATTTATATTTGCTCTAAGAAATCAACTGCTAGCTGACAAATTTAAATAACTAAATACCTACTTCAAAAACTGCTTAAGAAGTGAAGATTATTTCACAGGCAAGTAGGCACCTGTCAGAGTGCTATTTCTGCTCTGAGCTTTTGCTGAAAGGTTGTAATTATATGAATAATAAAAATTTATTTTAATGGCGGAAAAGAATGCCACATGCTTGGGCTGGCTTAAATACGTGTCTGCTGTTTACAAACACTGCCAATATTCTAGAAGGCTGGAAGACCACGTTGTAGGAAATTAGAGAGTTGCATGGTTTGCACTGAAGCTACACCCTGAAATGGGATTTAAATGGTTTTATTTGTACAGCTCCTAGCCAGAGCTGCCTACATGTATTTTACCTGTGAGCAAAAGCTAATTCCCAGTCAACAGAAACAGGCAGGCACATTTAGGATGTGACTCCTCACATGCTAGAGCAGATAAAGCTTAAAATAAACTCATGAATCACACTAGAAATGTCAGCTTCCTTCCAACGACTACTGAAGAGCTCTACAGAAGTTGCCCAGAAGTTGATGTCTCTATAGCACATATCAAAAGGTAAAAGAGACCAGCTCTATCCTCGGTGCCTGCCCTCTGATTTCTGCTGCAGACACTGGCCCTCTGCAGAAAAACAGAGCACTGGTTCATGGTGACTGAGTTTAAGCTGTATCTTTAAGGTGTAAACGAAATCAAATCAGCCAAAGAAAGCATGGAGCATAAAGCAGAGATAAAGTAAATTCAACAGCAATCATCTGGCTAGAAAGAGTAGAACTGCTGCTGTATTATTTGGAAAAAGCACATTGAGTTCTTACTGCAGCGACCGAAGGCCCAGAGAAGAGAGTTGTTCTACATCATGTTCTTGAGATCAAGTACCTAAAAATCATTTAAAAACCAACCCTGAGCTGGAGAGGAAGCAGCCACTCGTGGTGGCCTGCAGGCCACGCCGGTTTTCTCCTGTCAGAAGGAAGCCTCTGGCACAGCAATAATGGTGTTGCAAACACATGAACACGGGTAGTTCCACATCTGTTGTTGATGTGCTCGCAACACATCAGAAAATCACTTTCCTTCCTGCTCCTTAAATCCCTTCTTAAAACTTACCTAAAGCTTTTCAACCATTTTTTGGCTCCGGAGAGGAGCCAAAGGAAGCACTGCAATTGAAAAGGGGCATCAGCAGCCCCTCGATGGTTTGAGCTAATCCCTCCCCAGCGTGACCACGCTAGCACGGACATTTGTGTGAAGCAGATGGATTTGCCAGCCTCTTGGTTGAAGTTTAATCTTAGATATTTTTGCTTTTCTGTACTTTTGCCAGCAATGGCAAATTCTCACGGGATTGGATCTACGCCGGGTTGCAGTCCTGAAGTCAGAATGAAGGTTTGAACCTTAGATGTGCACTCAGAGCTGGTTTCCACAGTCACAGCTACTTGAGAAACCAGATCCAGTCCTCTGTGAAGCAGAGAAATATGGGCTGAATACAAGGAGTTGATTTAATTCCTTAGCCATTCATCATCTACTAAAAGGTGGCACGAGTGAAGAGTGGAGGAGGATGGATGACCTGCTTTGAAGGACCGTGGGATTCCCAGGGGAGCACTGGACCTGGGCATGGCTGGGCCAGGCAGAGTACAAACTCCCATCCCATCCAGAGACCATGTGCAATGTGTTGTGGTGCTAACGGCCAGGTTTTACCTCAGCAGAAAGTGCATTTTGTTGCTACAATCGGAGTATTCAGGCACTCTGGGACATGGACTGCCAGCGACCTGGCACACCAGAGTTAAATGCCAAAGTGCCTTCAAATATCTTAAACTTTACTTGTACAGAGTAGTCACTAACCACACCAGCTGTTCAGAGATACTATAAATCAAAGGAATAGGATTAACACCAACAAAGCTTCAGCTGGAAAAAACATTCTTGCACAAAATTCACCCAGCTAGTCAAGAATGCCACTTTTTAAACTAAGGGATTTAAAGATTATGAGCGGATTTGTACCCATCTGTCACTTCTGGCCTGCTTTCATTTCATAAAGCTTCCTTACTCAAACTTCACAAAAAGTCTTGTCAACATTTCACTATTTTTAGATTAACTCAATTTATTTGGTCGCTCTGATATACTGATTTCCTAAAGGGAAAGACTTACAGAAAGAGGCATTAGGATGTCAAGTCCATTGAAGCTGTGCATTATTAATATTGCATGCTGCTAGACAGGCCAAATTAACACACAGAATTGTGCCAGAAGCCAAAGCCATTTTAGAGCAGTTCTGGTTTATTCCAGCAAAAGGATGCAGCTGAATTCTACCTACTTTGAGAGACATCCCTGGGCAAAGGGAGTTAGCTGAGGGAGAGAACTCTGCAAATCCTCAGAACATGGTCCTTCCAGGAGGAACAGGAAAGGTTTCCTGGATGGAGAAGGGTTGCTCCCTTGCTGTGGAAGTGCTCCCTGACATGCAGCACCCTGCTACAGTCACCTACTGAGCCCCTGTACCACATACCTTAAACATTTCACTTTTTGTTTTCCCTGGCTGACACATAGCAGGACTCCAACTGCTCAAGATTACAGAAATGAAACCCTTGACAGCACTCCCTGGGAGCTTTTGGTGATGTCTCACTCAGTCCCCCACCAGATGAAGCTGATTTTCCCCTTATACCACTATGACTTTTATTTTTCACCATTTTGATTTTTAAAGGTTGGTCTCCTCATTTTGCATGTACCACCAGCAGCTTGATGTTCTCATTAAGTTGCCTTTGGCATGGAAAAACACTAATAAAAGAAAAATGTCACCAACACATCTGCTCGAGTGCTGAAGAGCTGGAGCTCTGGAAATTATACTGAACTGCCCATTTTCTGTGCTTTGCTCACCATTAGGTTTCACTTCAAGAGCAGGTAGCAGCATTTCCACTTCTGTAGTAAACAAGTGACATGATCAGAATGACAAGTGGGCTCCATCTCCATGTTTTCATCTCTAGAGGTGTCTCTGCCTACTTGGGAAGCTGAAATTCTGGCTTTTTATTTACACTGAGATGCACTCTCTTTCCATTCTGAATGGGTGTATATACTGGGGCTTTTCTAAACTAGTTATTTATGGAGCTCCTCATTTCCACATGATTGTTTTATTGCATGATATAAATCCCCCAAAGTGTGTTTCAAGCAGTTTTAATCTTTGTTTTCTCTGTGCAAACATGCAGTTTTCAATAATGGAAAATGCTTTCCTCTGACAAGAGTCACTAATTTTCTCCACTGCATTTTCTCCTTCCTAACAAACTTCTATTGATCAAAATGACTGGAGAGATGAAGTGACCAAACTGGGGAAAAAGACTTACATGATACATTGAACTGGTAAATTCTGCGTTAAAAAAAGCTAAACAGAAGCAACAGAAAGCAACAACTTTCAAAGCTTATTTTTTATGCATCATTAACAACAGGCTGTATGTGATTAAACAAATATCCTGCGCCCTCATTTTAACTCCACTGTCCTTCCAGAACTCTCATGACTCTGAGCTCCTTAAGTACGTGACGTATTGTCTGCAAACGGCAATGAATGGGGCTTGGGAGCATCCCAGACCAAAGCAGTTTAAGAGAATCAGGCTTATTTATGGGGTGAGTGTCTGAGCATGATTGATAAAGCAATAGAGCGTTGTAAATACCTGAAGTTACGAAAGCTCACAGCCCTGTAAGTACCCAGAACACACAGTCTGCACATGGCATTTTAAGTTGGTTGAGTGCCTATGAGACCAAAGTAGCTTAAGAGAATCATAGTGCCGGTGAGTGGGAGTCTGAGTAGGAGTTTGAACAAAGCTGATAAGTAGCTGGAGTACGTGAAGTACCTCAGGGCACTGCAGCATGAGTACAAAGTAATAGGACAAAATAACACCAGCCTGTCAGAGCTTGGTTTTCCTGAGCTGGACTCGTGATGGGAAACTATTTACAATGCTGCATAGATAATTTTGATTTATCTAAACACTGAGAAACTTGGTAAGATTCAAGGGAGTAGGCATATAGCAGATGCTGGTGGCTATTTTGGAAGATCAGCAAAAAGTCATCAAGAGGATCTCTTTTTCACTCTGTAACTGTAAAGGGCACACATCAGGACAACTCTGTGAAGGATCTAAAAGCTGGAAAACATTTCTAACTGCTTTATACCACAATGCTAATATAAAGTGTTAGGTGTAACTAAGAAAACCTCCAAATTATTAAGATGTACATGTCAAAACTGGAAACCTCTGTAACTGCACTGTTAAACTGCTTCCAACACTCTGCAAATAATCTGGGTTTGGCTATCTACATGCATCATTGTCACATTTAAAAATCATCTTCTGTGACTCTCCAGCATACTCTTAGCTAAGTAACCCCCCAAATAAGTTAGCAGTGAAGGAGAAACCAGCAGAAACCAGAAGGCACCATGTGCAGAGACAATGAAGCTAGATCAATTAACATCAGCGCATTACAAAGTGTGGTAAGAAAAGTAACTGTCCTTCCAGCTAGTTACAATTCAATCACTGAAGTGGAAACATTTCTGTCTCAACATGAGTTTAGGAGGAAGAAATGTTTCACTGGGTCACCATCTCCCACTTTTGAGGACAAAGTTCAATTTGCCTGCACCAGCACTGGGGAGAACGACTGAAAGTGAGCAATTTTGTTTCAGTAAAACGTAATGAAAATGAAAGAAACACAAACACACCTGCTTCGTCATAGGATACAGTCAGTTTTTCCAGCATTTCCCGATCAATTGATAAAATCTGCTGTTCCAGGATGGTTTGGTAAGACAGCTCACTGTTCTCCTTGTCCTTCTCGTAGTCCTGAAGATGCTGTTTTAGGACTTCAGGCAGGCGGGACTTCACGTATTCTGCTGCTGACTGTGTAGAGAAGAGGCAAAGGTTTAATGAATAAATTTTGTTTTGAAAAGCTTTCTACGTTTCTCAGCCAAAATTACCTCAGCCTACCCAAAACTTCCAGAAAGCGAGGCATATAATGGACCAAACTCTCCTGAGGTGAGGCATAACCCCTCTTCAGCAGGGCAGTCCAGAAAGAGTTACCAGTGCTGGGTGAGCCACACACAGCCCCCCACAGCTCAACTTCTTCAGCATTAACCTATTTTGAAAATATAACTATGAAATGTAACGTCTTCATAATAAATTTTGAAGTACAAAGTGACAGAGTGGAATCACTTCACCTGATAGACAACCAGGCTCGATCAGGGAAATAGAACATTTGGCAGTATTAAAAACCTACATATTTCTATCCACATATCCATCCCCATGCATCCACATCAGAAAATTCTTCCACCTTTTTTTTGCTCTAACTGCTCAAGGCCGTAAGGAAACACAAGGTGGCATGGTTGTACTGATGGTACACAACCTCCTTGTGCAAAAACACAGATGCAAGTTACTGCTAAGAGCATCTGCCTCTGGAGCATCTGTCAGTGCTTCTTTCCCTCGGGGCTTGGGCTCAGACACCTTGGTGAGATCCAAACACAAACCAGCCTTCTGGTTTGTAAGCATGAGCATCCCTCTCCTGCGAGTACTCCATGAGACAGAGTAGAATGTCCCTCTTTCTGGCATGGGTTTGCAGTTGGATTTTTTGGTTTCCATCTGTGATACAAATGTAAGTGGAAAAGGAAGATGCTGCCCAGTGCTCCAGGTTTCCTGCCAACCTCAAGACAAAAGAGAAAAATAAATAAGGTCATTATTTCAGGCTGGGAACTGACCCAGAGTTACCTCTACTCAGCAACAGGCTCTTCCCGGGTTTATATTTAGTTTTCCAAAGTCAACTGCCAATTAAATTGCAAGCTTAAAATATCACTGAAGTGGTGTGCAAGGCTTCTGCAAGCTAAGCCATGTGAGATGGATGAAATTATTCTAGGAAAACTGAACAACCTCTCCACATGAAGACAACCTTTTGGATGTTACACATCAATAGTGGTTTTCTTCCATGGGAAAGCCCAAAAATACACTGCATGCTAATTCTGGCAGGGGTCTGTGTTTAATGTTCCCTTCCAGAAGAGGTGTTACTCTGCAGGGGGTGTAGTTTTGAATTCTCCCTAGAGCAGCAAATGCTAACGAGCAGAAAAGATGCCTTTCAGATTACATCTACCTGCCATTACAGATTGAAAAGGACAAGCAGTGATGAAGCCAACACAAACTCCCCTCCTTTTCTGGCAGGAAAGGTGGTCAGGCCCTTTGGAGTCATCCCACCCCCAGCTACACTGCAGTGGTGAGACAGGTGGGACTTCATTCTGTTCAGCACAAAAGCAATTTAATCTTGGCTTGAGAAAGTCACTTACAGTACCTGGAACATTTAAAGCATGTGAGGGTGGGAGTATGTGTGCTCAGGTACCTGCTTGGTGTTGAAGAAACTGAGAAGCTAATGGCATGGGGGGAATAAAACTGAGACAACATTTAAAAAAGACAGACTTTCACTATATCCATGCTCTCCCATCTCACTGCAAGTCTCACTGCTCAGAGCACAGTGTTCAACTTCTCAGCAGGTCAGAAACTCCCCCTGTGCCTCCCTTAAGGATTTTAGTGCAGCTCACAGCCCAGAGACCCAGGGCAATGGGCAGAAACTGGAACCCAGGAGGTTCCATCTGAACTGGAGGAAAAACGTCTTTGGTGTGAAGATGGCAGAGCCTGGAGCAGGCTGCCCAGAGAGGTTGTGGAGTCTCCTGCTCTGGAGAGATTTCAAACCCACCTGGATGTGATCCTGCTTGGGTGACCTGCTGGAGTAGCAGGGTTGGGCAAGATGATCTCTTCCAACCCCTGCCAGTTTGGGATTCTGGGATTCTGTTTGCTGGCATGACAGCAGAGCATCCCACCACCGTGACCAACCCACCAACAGATCAGCTGCTCCTCCTCCAGCCAGTGCTGGCATCTCTGAGCTCTCATGAAATCCACTCGCATTAATATACATATTTGCATCATGGGCAGAAGTTAGGGGGAAAAAAACACATTTTGCTACTTTGAGGCTTCAAAACAGGTTTATCCTCTTTTCCTTTGCAGGGTCTCACTTAATCCTGCAGGAAGGAATTACAAAGGTAGCTGCTCATGGAAAGCACCCAACTTCAGCCATTAGTCATAGATACAATGCATCATACAACACTTGCTGGTCTGTCTTCTCCATCACCATCCCTACAAGAAAGCAGCTTGGAGCCAATGTAAAGAAAGGATGGACTTGCTCATGCTGGCACCTTCCCCAGGTGTTGTCTTCTCCTCAAGACAACAGTGTAACAGAAATGAACGTTGCTGACCATTACCTCTCTCAGACACAAAAACCTTTTTTTTTTCTGGCAGGAATTGACCCATTTCTTTTATAGAATTGAAACTGCAGCATGCCCCCGTGAATCTGGGTTCTGTCTGAAGCATCCTTCTCCAAATTAAATAAAGGATTGACTGTAATACTTTAATTGACTTTAGGGTATTTCATCCTACCATGGAAAACTAGTATTTCATACATAAAGAACAGATATTTTAAAATATCTACATACAGCCAAATATCCTTGCAGCGCTTAGTCATAAAAATTTTGTCTCTGTTCACTAAAAAAAACCCCAACTCTACATCAAAATCCCACCAGGAAAAGCTTCAATCCTTCAGCTGTGTGGTAACCTGAACCTCAAACGCATCCTTCTGTGACTACCAAATTTGCCCACATCTTTCAGTTGAGAAGAAACACGTATCCAAAGGAAAATTTCTTTTCATAAATTATGCTGAATGCCTGCTAAAATTTGCTCTGCTTTTCTGAAGTGTATCCTTCTGGGAGCTCCTTTTGTATGTGGGGAAGTAAAGGTCTAAAATGGTTAGTTAAAGGCTTCTTTATGAAGCCACTTCAAAAGTCAAGTGGCAGCTTGACAAAGCAGCCTCCTCACGCAGCTATATTGGGTAATTTCAGAAGGCTTTCGACACGCAGCAGAGTCTGGTGTGTGGAAGACCATCACATCCATTAGGGACAGCTGCATCCTCATCATGTTCTGCAGGCTGGTACCTCCCAATGCATCCCATTGCCTGGCTTCACCGACCTGCTCTACCTTTAAAATTCAGGTTTTCACCCAAGTGCACGGAGGGACTTTGTGTATTTTTGGCACTTGAAGCAGTCAAGCAGGTCTCATTAAATTGTGTTATTGGCTGATAAACCCTCATCATGGAAAAACTTCCAGTGGAAAAACATGAGGAGAAACTTCTTTGCTATGAGGATGGCAGAGCCCTGGACCAGGCTGCCCAGAGAGGCTGTGGAGTCTCCTTCTCTGGAGGAGTATGCAGGTAAACATGCAAGAAGTGACCCAAGTGCTCTGTGACAAAACATGCTAATTACGACACCAAGTGTTAAGCAGCTCCATGACCCTGTGAAGAACGAGCACTGCCAACAAGAGCCAAGGGAAGATCAGCACATGGGCACAGCAAGCAACTGAAGGATCTAACTCGCTGGAATGGCCACTATTCATAAACACAGATTTCCAGTTTAAAAAACAGAAGATGGAAACTCTCTCGCCTCGGACCCGCACTCCTCACCGACTCCTGTGGCCTAGAGGGAAAGGACGGAAAACACACGTTTATGGCCTGAATATTCTCCAGACAATTCACTGTGCCTGCCCAGCAGCTGCAAACATTCAGAGACCCCAGGAAAACACGTGATCCATTTCAGAGAATGGTGCTGCTGGTGCAGCATGGACACCAAAGGAGGAGACACACCCCACCAGGATTCCTCTGTCTCCTCTTGCTGAGTCTCCTTTTCACACTTTTCCCTCCAAAGACACGTGGGTCACTACAAGTTTCCTTCTTCAGAGATGATACACCAGGAACTGTTGAGTTGAACTGCAAGAGCAGAGTCCACCTTACATAAAAGAGGAATTTCTACGGTGTTCGCCTCCTGGTTTACCTCAGAGCAGGAAGTTTTTACATAGGATCAAGTGAGTTTGATAAATAAAAGCCTGAGACAGGTACAACAAATGAACATGGGTGTAAATCCTGTGGAAGATAGTATTGGCCATGATAATCTCATGGGAAGGAAACATATGGAAGACTAGAGTGGGATTGATCTGTGTACACTATGAGATACGTCTGTAAGAATTGTGGCTAACACACAAAAAGAGCTGGGAGGAAATTAGTGCAGTCTCAGAACTAGAATATAATTGGGCAATAAGAGAAGCTTGGTAAATAATTCACAAGACTGAATTCTTAATACAGATGATACAATTTACTGAGAAAGGAGGCTGTGGAAATAATGAGCTGCCCTGTGCATCAAGAGAGTCTTTGCTCTTCTAGGTCCAGTAGAAGGGAGACAGACCTGCCAAAAGCCATCATATAAAAAAAGAGAAGCAGAGGGCATCATGATACTGCAGGGTCACTGGATACTGACTGAAAAATAATGTAGAAAGCTTGAGGTTTTTCACCAGGAACTCAAATCATCAACCAAAACACAAGATGTAACGAAATACTGCAACTACTCAGGTATGTTACAGGAAATGTATCTCTGAGCACAGGTTGTCCAGCAACCTCGCAGTGATTGGTGATAGCAGCAAAGACCACAGTTGGGGTGCAGGACGTTCCAGCACTTAGAAGCCCTCTAAGATAGGAAGGCAAAAGAACTTGTATGCAGGTGACCATTAATTCTTGAAGGAGAAAACAACATAATAAAAAAAAAAGTCTTTAAATATCTCTGAGGCTTGACAGTGCAAGAGGACCAACAGCTGCAAGTCAAAGGAGAAAAGGAGATATGAGGAGCAAACTTTTCCTTAGAGAAATGATGTGAGTGAAAACTATCCCAATGCAGAAAAAACTCTAAGAATGAACCTGGCTAAGTCATAAGCTGCTTGGTGGTCTCAAAGTCAAGGACACATACACACAGAATTTCACGTGAGTATAA